GGCGAAGGCGCAGGAGCGGCGCGAGGGGCCGGCCAGCGGCCCCCGCTGTGGGACGCCCTCCTCCGCCCTGCGCTGGGGCAGAGCCTTGCTCCGGCTGGGGCACCCCTGAGCCCGGGGGAGCGGTGCCCCCTGCCCCCAGGACTGCACACCAGCTCCTCGGCCCTCCTGGCAGGGCCTGCCCGGTGCTGGACCACGGGTGAAGGCAGACCCGCCTGCCGCCCCCTCTCTGCCAGGAGGAGCCTGGCTGCTGCAGGCAGCAGCTCTCTCCCAGTGCCTTTTCCCCCGCAGCCCTGTAATGCAATCTCCACAGCACGCGTTGGGGGCGCACACGGGGAAGTGACTCCGAGTTGGGCCCAGTTGCCTTAGCAGTCAGAAGCGCAACAGGAACAGCCGGTGTCTTTTGGCCCGGCTGCTCCGAAAGACAAACAAGAGCTGTTAGCCTTTCCCCGGGGAGCAGAGAGAATGAATCCGAGTTATTTCAGGACGCTGCGCGTTTGCCAAGGGGCCGACAAAAGGGGGCTTATAATAGTTGCAGCAGAGCCTGGGACCGTGACCTTGGGAGCTGTGCACGCTGACGTGACCGGACTGCGCTCTGGCGCCCTGCAGCCGGGCACCAGAACGTCCTTGAATCAAGCTGGAGCAATGCATGCTGGGACATGAGGGTGCCTTCAAGGGGTGCAAAGCATGCTGGGACACGCTGCCTCTATGGCACTGCGCCAGACCCCAGGACATCTCCAAAAGGCCACAGAGCAGGCCGCACCAGCTGTCCTGTGCGAGCAATGCATGCTGGGATATGCTCCCCCCGCGCGTGCGTGCGCACGCACACGCGCGCGCACACACACACACACACACGTGCACGCAGCGGTTCAGCCTTGTCCCTGGGCCTCCAATGCATGCTGGGAAGCACTCTCCTCAGGGGTACAGACAGTGGACTGGATTGGGCCCGCAATGCATGCTGGGAACTGCCACCCTCATGGGCATGCACAAATGCTGGACAGGGCACTGTGCTGGCCCCGCAATGCATGCTGGGAAACGACTCCTGCACCACCCCCAGCAACCCCACGGCATGCTGGGAAATGCTACCCATTCCAGGGGCCAGAGCTCACAAGGGCACAACATTTTCCTACAGTGCATGCTGGGAAATGCATTCGGCGTGCAATGCCTGCTGGGCAACGGGCGCAGCACGCTGGACTGGTCTTAGCCCTGGGCCCGCAATGGATGCTGGGAAATGGGAGCCTGGCCCCCGTCATTCGCGCACTGGACCCGGCATCTTGCTCACGCTGCAATGCATGCTGGGATATGCTCCCCGCTCCACAGAGGGGCTCAGCCTTTCCCTTAGGCCTGCAATGCATGCTGGGAAAGGGCAGCTCCGCCCCGCCCTCAATAACCGCCCCGCCATCTTGCGCGGCCCGCCATGCATGCAGGGAAGCGCCCGCCCGCCCGCTCCCGGGCCGCAATGCATGCAGGGAAGCACCCCACCCCTGGGCCCGCAAGGCACGCCGGGATAGCGCCGCGGGGCACTTACCGTCTGCCGGCGCCGCGGCCGCCCGGCCTCTCC